ATATTCGTATAATTATTTAACCACATTCCAAATTATTGTAACCAGAGATTCGTAGTTTACCAAAAAAAAAAAACTAGAGCGTCGTGATGTAATATGACGGATTTGGAGTAGTGAAGAAGATTCACCCACTTGATCTACATCATGGATGGGATCCTATTATTCTCATCTATAGTCATTTTACCATTGATGCTATATAAATTTTTAGAAAAAAACAAAATCCGGTAATTTCACGTGCCGTGGATTATTTTATATTTCCAATCGAATTTTTTCATAGATTATACAAAAATGAAAAGTATCTAAAAATTATACAAACCACTCTATATAAAGAACTTGCATGAATCTCATTTCATTGCATCTCACTCAACCAACAAACAAACACTACACTTCATCGTCATATATTATATAAAAAAAAAAAAATCATGGCAGCCATTTCCTTCTCTCACCACCACCAATCCTCCGATAACCGCCGTGGTGGATCCCACCACAACCGTCACGGCCCGGTGGTGGAAGAAATCGAAGGACTCATCAAAGTTTTCAACGACGGTTGCGTCGAGAGACCTCCCATAGTCCCCACCGTCTCACCCACCCTTCACCCATCTGCTAAAGTCACAGCTTTTGACATCAAACTATCCAACGACACTTGGACACGTGTCTACATTCCGGACGCTTCAGCCTCACCGTCCGTTACTCTCCCTCTCCTCGTTTACTTTCACGGCGGCGGATTCTGCGTTGGCTCCGCCGCTTGGAGTTGCTACCACGACTTCTTGTCCGACCTCGCCGTTAAAGCACGTTGCGTCGTCGTCTCGGTAAATTACCGTTTAGCCCCTGAACACCGTCTCCCGGCGGCGTACGACGACGGCGTTAACGTCGTCTCTTGGTTAGTCAAGCAAAAAACTAATGGAGGATGTTCTTGGCTTAGTAAATGTAATCTCTCAAACGTTTTCTTGGCCGGAGATAGCTCCGGAGCCAACATAGCTTACCAAGTCGCGGTTAGAATCACGACCAGCTCAAGTGGCAAAACCGTAAATACCCTAAACCTCAGGGGCGTTATTCTAATCCAACCTTTCTTCGGCGGTGAGTCAAGAACGTCCTCGGAGAAAAAACAACACTCCAAGTCATCGGCTTTGACTCTGTCTGCTTCCGACACGTATTGGCGTCTGACTCTGCCACGTGGAGCGAGTAGGGACCATCCTTGGTGTAACCCGCTGGTCAACTCGGCGGGTTATCTTCGGGAAGCGAAGTTACCGACGACGATGGTGTTTGTGGCGGAGTTTGATATATTGAAAGATAGAAACTTGGAGATGTGTAGAGTGATGAGAAGTTATGGGAAGAGAGTTGAAAGTATTGTTCATGGAGGAGTTGGTCACGCTTTTCATATTCTTGACAACTCTTCTGTGTCACGTGATCGAATCAACGACATGATGTGTCGTCTTCAAAACTTCATAAACCCATAATAATTCCTTATGACTTTTTTAAACGTTGGAGGTCCAAAAAGATCTTGTATTTTAAGCCCTATGTACTAGTATTTTAAGCACATTGATAAGCGTAAGTTGCTTTTGTAGTGCTATTAAATNGATGTGCATGATTAGTATAAATTAGTTCTCATGTTGTAGTTAGATAGTTAAATCATGTAATAGTGATATAATTATGTATAAGCTTTTGATTTGTGTTATAATAGATGTACTTGCATTTTTAGATATTGTATCGAATGTTTGAATATGTTTTGTTGTTAAGATATAAGGTTTACATTTATTATTGTAATTTTATTTATGAGAAAAAGAGTAAGAATCTACCTTTTGTTTTCTAGCACTTCAATAAGCTTCTTTTATAGTTGACTTTGAGAACTTTGCCTACGTGACCAGAGACCCATACAACTATAAGAGCATCATTATCCAAGACATTCATAAAGAATCTTAAGTAATTTTTTAAGATTAAAAATACTTTGACATCCTCAATAGAGGGTTCATTAAGTTCTTCCCATAAAACTTTTTGATTGAGAATTCACTTAATTAAAAGGAAAATCGCATCAAAAACCTCCAAGATGGCATCCACTAACATTTTAAACCTCCAAAGTTTTTGACTATCACTTTAAACCTCCATCGTGACACAGTATAAACCACCAACGTGCCTTTCGAGTACGCACCGTCAAAATATTTGACGGAAATGTTAATTTCCCGTTTAAACATGATGATGCGGC